TTTGAGACGAAGTCTTGCTCTGTTGCCCAGGCTGTGGTATCGTGGTGTGATCTCAGCTCACTGCAACCTCCGCCTCCCAGGTTCAAGCAATTCTCCTACGTCACACTCCTGAGTGGCTGAGATTAAAATTGCATGCCACCATGCCTGGCTAACTTTTGTTTTGTAGATGGGTTTTCACCATGTTGGTCAGGCTGGTGTGCAGCTCCTAACCTCAGGTGATTTGCCTGCCTCAGCCTCCCAAACTGCTGGGATTACAGGTGTGAGCCACTGCGCCCGGCCCTTTTTTTATTTTTTGAGCTGTCACCGGGCTCCTGACCTGCCCGCTGAACACAACCCTGCAGGGCAGGCCAACAGATGAGCTTTTTCTAATTGACCCAGGCAAGGGAAGTGAGCCTGTGGGAAAAATGGGTACTAGATAGGCAGAAAAAGGGCAGGTCATGTTTTCCAGAGAAAACTTGAAGGCATCAATGCTTCTAGTCCGGTGCAGCCCACACACAAGCCCTCAGCAGCCCAGGCACTCCAGGCTTTCAACACAAGGCCAGCCTGGAGTAATGTGGGTGCACAGAGTCAAGGGGCATGGGTGGAGCACAGCATGGACTCATAGATCAAGAAAGAAGAAGGACACTTGCCCTGGAATTGAGTCCCAGGTACATGGCTCTTGGGGGAATTTACAGAGCATCAGCAGCATATCCTAGAAGAACAGCAGCCCCTGGCAAGTGCTTGTCTTTCCTGGGTTTGAAGGAGGCTCCGCAGACAGAGGCCAGAGGAGGCTGAGGCTTGGAAGCCATGGGGCCCTGTGGAAGGAGGGCATCCCCCATCCTCCTCCTTCTTTGTCCTCACTATTTAAAATCCAAGGTCAAGCTGGGTATGAGACAGGTAATCATCTGAGTAGAGGTGAGTCTCCCAAGCCTTCCAAGAATTGTGTGAGTTCAGAGGCAAGCAGGCAGGAGGGAGTGGGGGAAAACTGAGGCATGAGACTTTCAAGCAGAGGAGAGGCTGCTCACAAGCTAGGGCCAGGGGCCCCTTGTCCCTTCTCTGGAAGCGCCTTGACTGGCAGGTCCACGGGCTACTAGCTCCGCCCCCACCCTCAGCCACCACCAGAAGGCACCCTCAATTCAGACTTTGTATTGCAGTCCAGTAAAAAGCCCTGAACCCGCAGGGGGTGGCACAGAAAGGAGGTGAGAGGTGAGTTCCACAGCTCGATCCTATGAGGCAGGGGTGACTATTATTCACATCTTAGAGATGAAGAAATGGAGATGGGGGGTTAAAATCCTTCCCCTCAGAGACTAAGTTGGCCAATGTCCTGCAAGCATCAGCAGTGACTGATTGAGTCACAGCCTCACTACTGCAGCCAGAGCTGAACTTCCTCACACCCTGGCAGGTTACTGAATCTCTGCGGGGCTTGCCCTCTACTCACTCACATTTTCTGAGGGCTCAGTAAATCCAGGACCATCATCTGTTAGAAAGAGCTGCAATGTTATTGTATTTTTATTTATGTTTTTAAATTTATTTATTTAAAAAATATTTTTTTAGAGACAAAGTTTCTCCATGTTGGTCAGACTGGTCTCGAACTCCAGGCCTCAGGTGATCGGCCTGCTTCCGCCTCCCAAAGTGCTGGGATTACAGGTGTGAGCCACTGCGCCCGGCTTGTATTTTATTTTTTTAGAGACAGGGTCTTGCTCTTTCACCCAGGCTGAAGTGCAATGGAGCAATCACAGCTCACATCAGCCTCCAGCTCCTGGGCTCAAGCGATCCTCCCATCCCAGCCTCCCCCGTAGCTGGGACTACAGGCATATGCCACCATGCCGGGCTTCTCAGAGCTGCAATTTTAAATCGGGAGACAGGAAAGACCTCTGCGGAGGTGGCAGATAATCAAGACAGATGGTGTAGAGAAGAACCTTCCAGTCAAAGGGAAAAGGCAGGTCCTGCTGTGCTCAGCAATGGCCAGAAGTACTGTCATCCCCGTCTTAGAGACGGGGACAGGGCCGCAAAAGTGTCAGGGCGTTTCCTTGTTCTTCAACAAACAGCTGGATCCGAAGTCGTCGGGACGCTGCATCTCCCTTGCCTGGGGCGAACCTCCCCTGAAGCGCGCGGGCGCTTCAGGGCGCACAGGCCTCTGGGGTCCCGGGTCTGGCTCAGGCTCACGCTTGGGGTCAGCAAAGGGACCTGCGCCGCGCCTTGTGGCGGGGGTGGTCCGAAGGCCAGTGGCCAGTACTGCACAGCCGTCAGAGCTCCCGGCGGAGGTCTGGGCGCTGCGGGAGCGGCAGGCGCGCCCAGGGCTGGGAAGCCGGGTCCATTACAACAGCGGCGGGGTACGGGGCCGTCAGGGAGGCGTCGGGCAGGGGTCCGATCCCAAACCCCGAACACACGCCGCCGCGGTCTCCTTCCTACCGGAAGGGCGGCCACGACAGACGGGAAGCCGTTCACAAGGAGCACCATCTCTCTGGGGAGGAGAACCGGGTTGTCCCCGTGAGCCCCGCCGCTTTCCACCACGAGTCCCCTCCAATCCCACCAGAGGTGGGGGTCCTCACTCCAGGCTTCAGACCAGCCCCTCTCCCCGCCCCTGCCTGAAGGCACGCCCCCTGCACCTGCCAATTTCAGGCCCCGCCCCTGCTTGAATGTACGCCCCTGCACCTGTCAATTTCAGGCCCCGCCTCCATACCAAGTACCCACCTGCGCTCCACCAGACCCCAGCATGCCCACCAAGACCCCTACTCTGGATCCCAGCCTGGATCATCACCCCCGCCCCAGCCAGCCCCTCCCGGAGTTCCACTGCCGACATTCCCAGGGCACTGCCTCCCCGTCACGCTCCTCCCCTGCACAGTCTCCGTCCCCGCCCTGGACGCCCCGCCTACTTCACAGGCCTGTCTGGTCGCTCTCAGCAGGCCTGTGCCACACGGGGTCCGCCACCTCCAGGAAGTCTTCCTCCCGGCACAGAAGCTCTCTCCATCTCACCAGGGCCCTCGCCCGCTGGTCTACCAAGCCCCGCCTTTTTTGCGGCCCCCATTGTGCTCCTGGACCGGATGAGCAGGGTTGACAGTGCACACCACGTAGACGCGGCCCCAGTGCCAGGGGTTCAGGCAGTAGAGCACGTAGACGCCAAAGAAGCGACCCGAACTCACCGCGATTCCCACGGGACCCTTCGAATTTTAGGAAATAATCACTAACGAAGCATACTTCTGCTTCAGCACCGACATCAAGAAGAGAACCTGACCAGCACCACCAAACCCACTTTGTCCCTCCCTGGTTCCTCCCCCGGGGTGCCCGCTGTGGTGCCATCCCACCCATCTGTAGTTGAGTTCAGCAGTCCCTGTAGGACTCCTGGCAGATGGGGTCACAGTCCTGCTGGGCTCTCAGGCTCACTCTCGAGCTGGGGGCTCCTCCAGGAGCTCAGTGCAGCAGGCTAGGGGTGGTGGGGGCTGCCACCTGTCCCTGGGGCCTCAGGGCTTCCTTCCTTCCCACAGCAGCCAAGATCACAGGTCTCTACAATGACTCAGAGCTGCCCCAGAAGACCTTGTGCAGAGGGGTGCTGATGACCCTGCCCTGTGGATCGGGAAGCCTGGTGACAAGTGAGGGCAGCAGCTGCAAGGGAGGGGCTGGTGCCCAGGGGCTGGGACTGATTCTTAGTTTCACTCACAGGCCCCCACCCCTCTGTGGGGCCATCCCTGCTTCAGGGGACTATGTGGCCAGACCTGGAGACAAGGTGGCTGCCTGGGTGAAGGCGGTGGGCAGGAACAACCAGTGGATACTGGCCAAGGTGGTCAGCTACAGCCACGACACCCACAAGTGAGTGACACCAGCCTCCCCTGCTCTCAGCCCCTCCTGCCCCCAGCCCCAGGATGACTACTCCACCCTATCTGAAGACACCTACACAGAGAGCTTCTCCCCTCACCTCAGTGTGGCCCAGAGGTACCTGGTGGCTTCTAAAGAGCCCAAGAAAAAGTGACGCCGGCTGGCGGATTCAATGTCCTCCACCGTCTTAGGGCAGGATAGCAGAGGATATGCTGGGATTAAACAGACATCCCTTCTCCACAGGTCTCCTGAGTTTTACTTCTCCAGATCTCTCTCCCCTCCCCAGATATTGGTGACCTGGGGAGCTGGAGGTTGGGGGAGAGGTGACCATATTTGGCCCCACTGGGTATTCACTCTTTCAGCTCAGAGTTTCTCTTCCTTTCCAATACAGGCTCTACATTGGACACAAATCACATTTTATTTTAATTAAACTTTATTTTCTTTGGAGGGAGGGTCTTGCTCTGTCATCCAGGCTGTAGTGAATGGGCATAATCATAACTCACTGTATCCACAACCTCCTGGGCTGAAATGATCCTCCAGCCCCCGCTTCCCAAGTAGCTGGGACTAGAGGTGAGTGCCAGCACATGTGGCTAATTATTTTTACATCTTTGTGAGATGAGGTCTCACTATTTTACCAGGCTGGTCTCAAACTTGTGGACTATTGTGATCCTCCCAGCTCAGCCTCCCAAACTGCTGGGATTGCACACATGAGCCACTGTGCCTGGCCCAAAAATCATACTTTATTCCTGAGCCCCGTGGTCAGGCTTGACTCGAACACTCCCTCTGCAGTGACCCCGGGAGCCCCTGTCACAGCTGGGAGCGGAAGCTGAGGCTGCAGCCTGCCATCTTCTCTGCATAGTCCGCGTCGAAGCGCTCATTCTGCGCCACAGTGAAGGTGGTTTTCCAGTCCCCAGCCGTGCCTGGGAGAGGAAGGCAGGGAGCAAAGCTGGAGTCTCACCCCAGGGGAGGCCCCGAGTGCCTATGGGGAGGCTCCAGCTGCTGCTCCCACCAGCCCCAAACCCCCGTGCTGGCCGGCGCCCACCTCTCCTCATGAAGGGGGAGATGCTGTGGTCCATGACCTCCTGGGGAACGACAGTGTAGTTGGTCATGGGGTTCTTCTTCATCTCCTCAAACGATGTGTGCTCAACAATGAGGTCCACGGTCTCCTCCGGCAGGGAGCGACCCACAAACTCCAGGATCTTCTGAATCTCCCTTTTGGGGTTCTGAGCAGCAGAGGGCTCCTCAGTGGAGGCTGGGGTTGCTCATTCAAGACAATAAGAGGGGTCTCCCTCTCTAACTTCAGAGGGAATCTGGCCACTTCTCCTAGAAACCCTTCAGAGCCAGCTCTTCAACCCCTGGGGCCCTTTGCCCTGGCGTAAAATGAATTGCCTTCTGCCCTGTGATCCCATAATGAGCTGGGCTTGGCTCCTATGGGTGACAGTAGGGATGGTCTTTTTTCATGACTGTGGCTCCGGGCTGGCACACCCTTTGGCAGGCAGAAGCCAGAGGACTAAGTATCTGATCCAGGGCCACCTGTGCAGCTGACTCAGGCATGGGGGATAAGTGCCATGCCGGGCCTGCTGCCAGGTGGGGCTGAGGCAGGTTGGTTTTGAACTCCTCGGCTCAGGTGATCCTCCGACCTCAGCCTCTGGGGATGGGGAATCCGGGCCTGCTGTGGGGCTGCCTGGAGAGGGGACTGGACGGCCTTGGCGTGTCCTTGTGAGGTGCCTGCCCCCAGGTGTCCCATGGAGGGCAGCAGCACAGGTGGTCTCACCTCCTTCATGTCTTCATAGAAGAGGTAGAGAACAGGGTGTGTGCGGCTCAGCTCCCACCACTCCTGCACGTGCTGGTACCAGGACCCGTAGGACACTGGAGAAG